TAAGGTTAGGTTAGGTCAAGGGGAACATTTTACACTGGTCATCAGGTATATTTACCTACTGGTGATTAAGTTATTTAAGTTTAGGTCAATTGGTTTTTAGGTCAATAGACCCGCACCCACCCTGAGTGCATATGATAGTAATTGTGTAATGATTATTGAGTGTATTGAGTGTAGCGATTGCCATCTCTGCACACATTTACTATTATTTGCTAATCCTGTTGTAAATATCTTTTAATTAGACTTTTTATTTTCATATTTATCATGAAGTTATTTTCTAACGTAGATGCAATTATTGATTATTTATGGTATTAATATATAAGTTCTGTAAACATGTACAGTATATCATTGTGTCTTAAGTCTTAAGACATAGAAAGTTATCTAAAGCTTAAGTCACATAAAGTAAACTTCAATAGACATCAAACCAAAAAATGATTGCTTTTATTTGATAAGTTTTTTCATATAAAAGTTTTTAATAACTTATTAATCAATTGTTTTATATTTCAATTTTATTTATGTATTTCTTATAATTTTATAAAAATATATAATTATTTATAAATAATTTCCTGTAAAACATGGAAAGTAAACCTAATACTAGTTTTTCATATAAACTAAAAACATTTTATGAGTTCCTATCCCTGCTAACCATCGAGCCCTGTATATTTGTATATATGTTTGTGTTGACCGTAAAGGGTGTACCTGGTAATCAGCTAGTCGAGGACAAACTGTGCCTGTTCAAATACAATATTAACTCAACGTATTGCTTAATACTGCCGAAATTGTCATCGGATGAGGACGTTATGCACCATAAGTCCGACATATTGACAGAGATGACCAACTTTACACTTTACTACACCCTATTGATGATCATACCATCGGTGGTGTCCTCGCTATTTTTGGGCGCCTGGACCGACAAGTACCAGCCCGCCAAAAAGGCCTTGGTTATTATCGGAGCCTTTTGCGGCATTTGCGAAGCAGTTATTAATGTCATAAACGTTTGCTTATATGATATTTGTAAGCATTAAATCTATTAAATAATTTTTTCTAACTACTAATTTATACTACCTGTCCACATATTTAGCGCCATATTATACAATATTAAGTGGTATCCCAAATATATTCTCGGGAGGACTGTTGGGTCAGATCACCGCCTTTTGGTCGTATATAGCGCTCACAACTCCCCGCAAATACCTGGCCTTAAGAATGACTTTTGCAGAACTCATGATGTCTTTAGGTGTGTCCACTCTATCCACTGACCATTCATTTGGTTTAAAATTATTTTTTGCCCAAAATTAAAGCCTCGCCAGTGGGCACATACGTAGGTGGGGCCGTACTTAACACCAGTCCCTTGAGCGCTGATCAGGGCCAGTTGCACAATTACATCGGCGTGTATATCATATGCGGTGTGGCAAACCTACTGGCGCTCGTGTGGACCATATTCAAGGTGGACGAGAAGCGAGATATGGAGGAGTTTGAGCGCAGGTTTGGCACCCATTCCTCCGAAGACATGTCTGTCACCGAAGAGATCCTTAAGAAACAGAAACAATACGAAGACAACCGACACATCCATCCCATAAAACTGCTCTTCGACTGCACTAATGTTAAGGATATGTTGAAGACGTGTTGCAAACCGAGGGCTAATCACGTGAGGCTTCAGATATGGCTACTGTTCCTGTCGATGGCTATCTATATCATGGCATACATGGCTCCCGCTGTCTTCATGTTTCAGTTCTGTCAGAAGATTTACAATTGGGATTCAGAGATCTATAGCAATGTGTCGGCCGGCGCCAGCTTTATATCATGTGCGACCACTCTCATCATCGCACCCATACTTATCAAGGTATTTCACATCATTTTGCTTTATCACAATATGTTTGTAAAATTAATTATATAGTTTTTAATAGTTCATTAATTTACTATTTTCAGTATTCAAGTTTATAAAGTTTGATTAACCTGCATAAATTATACTTTACTTTCAAAATAGCTTTTAAGTTGTTTACTACCTAAACGTATTTTCTAATTTAATAGTTGAAGTGGACCTAGTTCATAGTTAGTAATAATCTAAGCTATGGGTATATTGAATATATGACAATTAATTAACAATTGATTAAGTTCTAAACATTAAAACCACTTACAAAACAAAAATGTTTCAAA